AGTAAAAATGTTGAAAACCATTACATAATTTTTTTATTTTTAATAAATAAAATAAATTACCCAGCTTTATTAAATTAAATTATAAGTTTTTTATGTAAAATTAATAAATAAAACAGAGAGATAATTTTGTCCATTAAAAATAAATCAATAAAAGAGTTAAATCAAATAAAGAAAATGAATGTGAAATAATATAATTTTTAATATAAAAAAATTATTTAATATTTGTTATTACTCATTAATACTTTTTGAATAACTTTCTCTACAAATGCAAATGGGTACCATAGATTAAAAATTTTAAAAATTAAACACCTTGTTTTTGGCTTTTTACAGTAAAAAATTCTTTTGTTAGCTGGACCAAAGATTCAATACCAAGTTTGTGTTGGCTCGAAACCTGGTGGCTCTCTCTGCATCTCCATTAGAGGCTTTGTCTGAGCCACAAAAAAAAAATGATTAAAAGCACTGTAAACTCTCCTCAACAAATGCTTATAAACAATTTCTAGCAGGAATTAATTTGAATTTGAAGGCACTGACTGTTTAAACAAGGGGCTATTAAATTTCCTTCCTTAACAACCATAAGCTTTGCAAACATATAGCTAACCAGAGATGGGAATGGGTTGCCTCTGATAACACATTTACTCTGGTGTACAAGTACTGATGGAATGCAAAGTTCCCATCTCAAAGTAGGGAAACTAGTAATATTTTTAAAAGTTAATGCAGTAACATGACCAACCAATCACAACAGCCACCAAAATGCAGGGTGAAGATACCAATCTCTAGGTCAATACACGCAGGTAAAGGGACCTTCTTGTAAATCCGGTCGTAATCTCCAGATTATAGTTATGGCACCTAAAACAAAAAGAATTCAAGCCATTGACGAAAAACAACCAGGAATAATAAAATCAAGAGATGAAGATTAAAAATGGTGACGGTTTTATTCCCAATAAAAAAACAGATAATCAATACCATAGACTACAGAGCTTAGATACAACTTACTGAATAAAATGAGGAGAACTACACCAGTAAGACTTTGGACAATCAATGGTCAATAACATAGCTATAAAGGTTTACTAACTGAAACAACCCTCACTGAGAAAATTTAATAGCCATATCCAAACTCTATTTATCAGCCAATGAGCAGATTCAGATTGATGGTATATGCTATTATCAAAGTCAATTGCATAACAATCACAGTTTGAAAATAGCATGTGGCGAAAGTTATTTACATCATATGATATCTGGCTAAACTACGGATAAGATCAGGATATCCAGTATTTCCAAGGAAGACCATGACAATAAGTTCTCCAAGGTTCAGACACAGGCGAACCTCAACATGAATGAATGATAGGATAGGAGAGGAAAGTGCTTGAAGATCCATCTACTGTCATACTGCCTAGGGGCCATCTGAATAACTTGCTCACCAAGGCTGAATGATCTGCTTTCAGGTTTTCTGAAAATTCCAATTTCTCCTTCTCACATTACTTAGCCATCTAAAATCAATCAGAGGTTGCCCATATTGTAGCTTCACAAGTTGCCTTCTATATGGGATTAGTATATTTTTAAGACCTGCCATTGATAGAGCACAGGGCTGAGACAAAAATTTTAACTCAACACCGCCAAAAAGAATAGCCTTAAAATTAATACCATCCACCTTGCCAATCACAAGGCTGACCTCAGACAAGGGAAGATAATAAGTAAATAGAAAAAACTGAAATAAAAATGAAAGTTTCTAATAATTTTTCCTTTCAATATAATGCACCATATTAAAGCACACTGAATACTAGGCGTACCTGTCATGCACATTGTCCTGTAAAGGTGAGCAATACGGACATCACCTTTTATGCTCATATGAGGCTTCTCCATGCATTCAAGAAATGCTAAATCGGCTTTCAGAAGCTTTTCTTGATCGTGAGTATCATAACCAATATCATGACAATAGCAACAAAAATCTAACCAATCAATTGGTCTCCTGTCCCAAACAAGAGATCCACCATCTTTCCCACTTGACCAATTAGGACCACAGTAATGCCCATATCGTGGAAATAACTGCGAAAGGAAGGCTCTAGCACCTGTATGCCATGGAACCTTGCAAACATATGGCCTAAACCGGATAGGGGTACCTCCATTGGGGGGCTCAATAGCCCCATGTTGTCGTGCACGTCTTTTTAATCCTTTATTTATAGTGGTTGGTGCTCGATTTTTATCATTACCATTAACAGCACATGGAGGAACTGAAACTAGAGTCCATCCCCATAGCCTGATCTCAAAACCAGCTTTCTGTTTAGGATGTTCCAGGAGAGCACTGGTGGATGCGAGAGGCAACTCCGAATCCCTTTTGGGATCGAGACCAAACCATGGAATGCTGAGAAATCCAAAGTTCATCATCAAAAAACACAAGATGCCACCATATTACAGATCTTAGCCAGCACAAGGTAACTCGTTAAGTACACCTGATAAGACATAATTATATCAAGAAATATAATTCCATTTTCAAAAGCATAAGCAAGGGCAACTAACAATCCAAAGCAGTATTCCACAAACCACAATCACATAACAGCCAGCTCAATAATTTCAGTGTTTTTGAGCATGCAAACACCAAATCACTCAAGAAAAAAAGTACGGGACCACAAAGAAATCGAAATTATTAAGCCTTAAAACTTTCACTTTTCTGTAAGACAATTAATGGGGTTGAAATCCAATCATCAATTTTTTTTTCCTCCTAGAGTGTCTGCAACAAAATGAAGATGAAAGAAATTCTGATATTTATATAGATTTTAGCTGAATTACATAAAATTTTGCGAAATTAATCTATTCCACAAACTAATTTTTCCTTTTTCATCAACTTTCTAATTTAATTTCACTACACTCCACAACAGCTAAACTCCCAGGAGCAAAAGATAGGCTTAGAGATCAAGGATTTTATCTGACCAACTTGAATACACTATTCAGACGTTGCAAATAAATCAAATTTATTGCCTTTAAAGCTCAATTATAAGCTTAAAATCTTCCTTAAAAAGAAGAAGAGTTAAAAAGAAAAAAGGATTTCTTCCTCTTTCCCCCTTGGTTTTCTCAGGAATTAAACAGATATAACCATAAACATACAAAGAATGAGAATCAGAAAGGAACTTACTGCGCTAATTCATCGATCACGCAAAAGAGGGATAGGAATAAAGGCGAGAAAAAGAGAAAGTAAAAAAACTGGGGCAATAGAGGAGTTTATGAGAAAATTTCTGTGGACTTTCTCTCTCTATTTGGATTACGGAGTGGGCCTACTTATATTCTGTAGGGCCTACTTCAGAGTCCGATAGATCTAGATTTCATTGAATGAGATTCATATCTATTTTCAGTTTATCTCGTTTTATCTCCACGAGTGTAACGGCGCCGGATCAATACGGGAATTGGTTTGGTAAGTTCCACCCAAGGATGAATGGGACAATATCTTTTTTCTTTCCTTTTTATTTTATATTTTTATTAAAAAATTTCATAATTATGATAGTAAATTTATTAAAATTTTTTTTTAAAAAAAAATTTCCTTACAATAAGCATTAAAATTTTAAAATTATACGAGACTTAATATATTATTTACTTTGTTGTCAATAAATTCTCTCGATTTATGCATTATATTCAGCAAGTCCAAGTCTAACCTGTGTTTCATGCTTTCTTAGATTTTGATTGGGCATGGAATCCAGATGATAAAACATCTATCTCTGCATGTCTCGTATGTTTACCTCGGTGACACACCAGTTTCTTGGTGTTCTAAAAAACAAAACACAGTGGCTAGAGCCTTCACAGGAACACAATATAGAGCAATTGCTATCACTGTTTCTGAAGTCACATGGATTCAATCCTAATTTTAGGAGCTCAAAGTCAAATCCTTCAACACCTTCAATAGTGTATTGAGATAATCCACTGCCACTGCCACTGACACTTGAAAGAAAGAGAATCCGATTTAACATACAAGAATGGAGTATCCGACCTTAGATTATTACTTGTTTGTTCGAGAAAAGCTCAGTCATGAGCAGCATGTCCCAACAACTCACAACTAACAAATGCTTTTACTAAACATTAGTTGTTGTCCAAGATTGGTGTCTCTTGTAAGGACATATTAGAGCAAAGGAAAGATCAGGCTTTTGCTAACACAGCTGAATACAACATAAATGGGACATGCAATATGAGAGCATTACTTCAAACTCAACGGTCAATATTCAGCCTTGCATAATACTCCTTACCATTAGCCAGGGTCACAGCGTTTTCATTCCTGTGGAAACCTTTATACCATCAACAGTACATGTTCAAAAATTAGTTTTAACGTATCATAAACTTTCAATTAGTTTGTGCCAACCATCACCGCCTTGTTAACTTTTGGTGTAAAAATCGTAGCCAAGTGCAGTAGCTTCGTAGCTATATTAATTTGATTCATTATTGTTTCTCCACCCTTGTTTTCCCTGATTGATGGATTCCACAGAAACAAAGTCACCTCTAACCCCTTTAACTACTGGGGATGAGCAATGTGTAGTTGACTGTTCTGAGAATTGAGTCACCTCTAACCTTGGATGATCAAGGTTGTTGTTGTGTTCGCTGGCTTTTATCAACGTGTTCATCGATGAAAGCTTGCCAGGATTTGCACACCCCCGTACACCGCTCAAGAGACTTCACGGGTACCATCGCAAGTATTTCTATTAACAGGTCCCCTGGTAGGATTGGTAGCTGAGTGCTTATCTTCTTCCGACAAAGCTTTTGAATTTTTTATGGTGGCATAATGTAACACGGAGTGCAGCATAACGTTACATAGAACTTGAGACTTTTCAGCTTAGGAGATCTCACGTTCAATCTTGGAAAGGGAGTACTAGGGCTACCGAGATGAGAAAAAGACAGTTCAATTGGTTTTTTATATACCAAAAATCTATAATAAAACTTCTAGTACATCGAAAATAGAAACTAATTAATGAAAATAAATGGACAAAATCAAGATTACTAAATACCAATTTAAAAGAGGGAATGAGTTAGCGCAACAGCAACTCACTCATTCACTTTATATATTAGCAGAGATGATCATACAATAGTGCTCAAAATGGGAAACGAGTTCTCCTCAATGACATTCGTACAAATACATACCTCCACGCTCCACCTACTATTGGCATTGTTACTGGTATCTTTACAATGTCTGACAAAAAATAAACAGCATGGTTACAACTCCAATCACCTTCTCACAACCCAAAAAAAGCAAAGAAAAGAAGAAATAAATTTGAAACGAGCAAGACTACAAGAAATACATTTATATGCAACAATTTAGGATGTACAACAAGACAACATTGTTCCTCCATCTCTGGTTAGTTCCACGGGGGCGATGATGGTCTGTATACAAAATCCTGAGAAGACGTGCCATAGTTCAGATCAAGGTTGTGGAGCTGCTCCATTAGTTGGGAACGCCTTTCCTTGAAAAAATCAAGACGGGTTGTTAATTCTACCAAAGCAGAAGAAGCTGCTGATGGATGTCGTGGATAATCAATCACCTGCAAAAGAACACTGCATCAATACCTACTAACTATATCAAACAAGAATTAATCAGGTGTTAGTTGGGTGATCTGCCAGTTAGAAGGTTTCAACTTTCATGTGATAGTCAAGCTTCACGTGATTGGGTTCTGATGCACATATTGCATGGTCAAAATTAAGGGGAAAAGGCATGAATGTCACCGATGGAACAGAAACAGGCAACTGTTAGTCTTACCTCTGCTGCTCTGGACGTGGATGGGATAGAGGCAGAATCAACCACACAAAGCTCATCCATGGCCACATTTGCTGATGCTTCAGTACTTTTTGAGTCACTCAAGCTTGTTGAATCCATAAATTGCTTTCGAATAGGCTGCCTGCTGCTGTTGCCAACTGCCAACCCCTGTCCTTTAACATTCCTCCACTCCGCCCCTAACAAATTTTCCTGCATCATGGTTTTAAAATGCATATTTAGAGTGGATAAGATGAGGACTGAACATGAATATCTGAAGGAAGGGAACTAAAAGAAGACATAATTTGATGGAGATAGAAAAAAGAACAAGTTCAAATGTAAGAAAGTGTATCAGCTTGACAGAAATGGATGCAGAAAAACTAATGCATTTACTGATCTGGTCATCATCAATTTACTTTCATTGTCATCACCAATGAAAATCCTTGATTTCTGGTATCAGGGTGCATAACAAGCATCGGTTACTTTTATATGCAAAGGACATATCTCGAGAGCTACTGAATCAAATCGATATAGGCATTTCTTTGTTTATAGGGGCTTGGTCCCTAGGTGGACCCTTGACAAAGGACTGTAAAAAAGATGAACCAAATTGCACTCACAAATTTGTCAATGCAGGCAAAGAAATTGTGATAACATCATGTTTTTTTTTTTTCTTACAACAATAACTAGAAAATATGTACCAACCTAAGAATAGTTTAAAAACTGCAGAAACCAGGTAAAATCACTAGCCATCTGTCCTTCGTACCAAGATATCAAAATTTTGAGCTGCCTAGTTTGCTAAGCACCGGAATTATATGAAGTATAAATGGTTACTACATGTGCTTTATGTTCAAACTATTCAACTAGATTGTAAATTTGAACCGGACAATTCATGTTTAAGACATATATTCGCGTGCATTAACCATGTCATGTAAACATAAGATATTAACAAGTATATGTATAATCATAAACACAACACTATTAATTAAACGTGTAAAGATCCTAAACAAGAATATAGATACGTTTATTAAACGTGTAACATGACATGACACACTTGATACGTTTATTAAACAGATCAAGTTAAATATCATATGACATGACGCAATTTATAACCCGTTTAAATAATTAACATGATTAACATTTTAAACATGATAAATATGTTTAATACAAAACACGATTAAATTAAAATGCAAACAACTATAAATGAAATATAACTTCATTATTCAAATTTAAAACAAATAATCACAAAACAAATTATAAGAAAACAATAATATCTATCAAGCATTTCAAAACAGCCATAATAAAATAGAGTATTTTTATATGGAAGTTTTAACGGGTCATAAGCGGGTCTTAAACTTACCTGGTTGACATGTTTACACAATTAATTAAAAGATAATAAACAGGTCACGGGGTATACGGATAGACAATAACATTACTAACTACATGTGTCTTAAATGGGTCCTAAATGGGTTAAGCGGGTTTGACACGTTTAAGACACAAAACACGAGTATCATGAGCCCAAACTCACATAATTCTGTGTCATGTTATTGTGTTGTGTGCAAAATTACCAAGTCCAATTGTGATACACTTCTGAGTTGCTTTGATTTGTTTATTTTGTATATTCTCCGACATTTAGAAATCCTTCATAAGCTGATCATACCAGTATACATATACAACACTTATACAATTAAGCATTATTGGCTCATTAAGCTTTCCACCAATAATAAGGAGAAATATCAGGAATGACATGAAGTAAACAAGGAACAGGACAAGCAAAAGTTAATGACCATTTCCAAGAAAAACAAAAACATTGTTGAGAGGAGAAGCCTAGGCATTTTTACAAACACTTGGCACACAAAATGTAAATCTTATTTAAACAAAATAACTTTCAACCTTTTCAAAAGCCACCCAAATCACAATTTATCACCACAGTAACAAGCCTAAATTCCTACAAAAATATTCCACAAAAACCTTCTTCAATCAACTAGGTTCAAGTCTCAAAATCGACACAAACTAACCACCAAGCACAAGTTGTACCCAAACGAATAAATAAGAATAAAATCAGATTTTGTACTTTAAAATGCATCAAACATCATCATGGAGACTAAAGTAAAAGTTCTTACACACAAAGTTCGAAGATCTTCTCTTCAACAAGCACTCACTCAAAATGTTAACTCTATTTTTGATTCATTACATTTTTTGCTTTCTGTTTCCAGCAACTGTACAGCCACTATAAGCCTCGTTTTGTCTTCTTTTTAGTTCTCTAGTTACACTCCAAATAGGCCCTCTATTACCCAAACTTGCCATTTGAGGTCCTTGTAACAGTGTCAACATGACACAGGTATGGATACAGTGTATGTGCCTTACACAGCACTGACAATGCAGAGGCAGCCTCTTCTCCCTTTGGCTAGCCACAGGGGCTATGGAAGAATAAGAAGAGACAAAGGGAGAGAAAGGAGGGTGGGAGGGAACTTAAGTCTTCATTGCAAAGGCTGGGCAGACAAAAGAAAACAATATGTTGTAGGCTTGTAGATAATAGGGCATTGAATGATACCTGTGGTATCTGTGGGATGGTGGATTTGAGAAGAAAGCAGTTAGCTGGAAGCAGAAGAGAGTGAACAGTCTGATGGAGAGGCAAGTGAGGTGTCAAGCATAAATGTGGCAGATCACTTAAGATGCAGAAGAATTATTGGTTTGAGAAGAAAGAAGCTCAGTCATTGCATTGCAAGTCTTAAGATCAAGTTGACACATTTACAAGCCCTTGAATATTGATGCCATTAAAAGAATGAAAGTGATGTCCGGAATGAGAACTAGAAATTGCGTTTAAGGGGGAATGTTGGTCATAAAATCAATTTTGTTGGGTATTTACTTTGGTTTAACTTTACTAGTTGGCCCACATTCTTTATTCTTATGCTGGACCTGATTTGGTAGGCTTTACGCCCATTTAGGATGCAAATGGATAAGTAAAGAGAAGACAAAAACAACACAAAAGTGGCTGTATAGTTGCTGGAAACAGAACAGGAAACAGAGGCAAAAGACATAGTGAAGACAACATAGAGAAAAAGGAGAGCTTCTCGAGTGAGTTCTAGTTGGTGGGCAAAGTTTAAACTTAATGCATAAGAACTCTTATGCTAGTCTCAGTGATGAGTTTGATACATTTTAAAGTCCATAAATCATAATTTTATTCTTGTTTATTTGCTTAAGTATAACTTATGTTTAGTAGTTATTTTGTGTTGGTTTTCAGCCTCAAACTTGGTTGAAGATAGTTCTTGTAGAAAACATTAGCTGGAGGTTATGCTTGTTTGTGTGACAATATTGAAAGTTACTTTGTCTAAAGAAGCTTTATGTTGTGCATACCAAGTGTTTGTAAGAAATGCCTCCTAAGCCTAACAAAATTAAAGGCAGAACAAAAGAACCGGCTTTTTTCACCAGTACAGACCCTACCTACCAAGAGGTGTGGGTCACTGGTCAACTGGCTGAAATGCCCAGGCACCCAGCATATAGTGCATTTCAGCACCCTTTTAATACACTATCCTCTTCTGTTCATTTCCAGAGACAGACTGAGTTTTTTTCGCTCTAGCCTGTCTTTCACCCTCCAGATTCCTTTTCATAAACATTCCACCTCTAGATTTCTTACCCCTTGCTTTAAGTCTCAGCACATCACCTCTGAATGACAGCCAGTACACACAATAGCTGGCCCCCTCTCTCTCCTCCTTTCTTATTCTTTCCTGTGTCTTTCCCTCGACCAACCCCTCTCTTTTTGCAAAGTTTAAACCAAATCTTGAGATCTACAATAGGCATAGATGCACCCCAAAGTTTGGAGCTGGTTCACCTCATTCTACTGTTGAGTGGTTTTCTTGCCTGAAATCTTAGGTCAATTATTTTGATGAATTAGGAATTTAAGCTCATGTGGGGCTATTTTGGGCAGATGGATTAGTGTTTTTGGTTGGAAATTAGCTGAGAGTTTGTATTAGCTACTTTTTTTTGGCAGTGTTTGAAAATTTTTCTAATAATTTGCTACTTTTTTCTACCCCTCTTATTTTTCTCCATTTTCTGTAGCTCTTTTTTAGTTTTCCCTCAAATCTTTTTCCATTCAACATTTCAAGCCTAAAGCCTAAAATCTTAGCCCAAACTAGCAAACTTCATTCCTTTTGCATTTTGGATCAAAAGCGCTGAAGGAATAGAAACCCAACAAGTAGTGGGTCATCCAAATAATTCAAGGACAGTAGTTCATCTGGGTTGACTAGGTTTTAAAACACTTTAGGGTTGTACCAGCCTGGACAGCCTTCAATGTTCCAATTAAACTTGGTCAAATGACTGGGCCAGACTGGTTCTAAAACACTAGGAAAAACAAAATGATGAAAGCCACAACGACCAAATTCTTTCCCTACTGAAATTTTACAGTCCAACACAATCAGTTGAGATGCATAGAATTTTTAAAAAATATATTGAACACATACCTCCGTTCTTTGTTTCCTCTCATGATTACAAAAAGCAAGGGTTGTGTCAAAATCTTGCTGAAGAAACCTCCTGTGAACATAAAAATTATACATTTTTAGCACAGGGAAAGGAAGAAGACAAACTGGATAGACATCTATTCTTTACCATTTTGGATAGTTGCGAGTTTGCACTAAAAGGTGCATCTAAAATGATAAAACAATGTGTAAATTAGTAATCATAAGAAATCCTTCAAAATCACCATATTACACATAATAACTACCATTACAAGACTATAAAAACTGTTCATAACCATGTAGCAGAAGTTCTTTTCCCCTCTCTGGAATTCAATTGTTGGGCTTTTGAATTTGGCAGTAACCACATTTCCTTCAAACTTTGAATCCAACCTAATTAGCTGAGGCTTTTGGCTTAATGATTCAGAAGCTACCAAAATTATGGCTCTCCTCCCACACTCCACTCAACAAAAGCCCTAAAAATGCCTATTTTTCAAGACATCCTGTAAGAACCACATCTTCTAAAGGGCTTGAATTCAACATGATATCCAAAAAACTTCAAAAGACCTTAGTCTTCAAAAGATATTAGTCAAGGTCACCTGAACGGAGCCCAAGTCTTGAGTTACTATAACATGCAGAAGAGTAATTGTTGCATGACAACAGAAAAGCACAATATCCATGCATGCTATATTTAGGCTAATATAATATTGTCAGGTTGCAGAATCCTAAAGAGAGAGCTTAGAGATAACTCCTAATGCAAGGAACCAACAAGACGAAACAAGTCACATGATAATTTTGGGCACCAACAGGCAAAGTTAACAATGCATCTGGCAAAAGGCAATTTAAACGCTTAAACCAGTACTGAAACAAGTTATTTTAATTGGTTCCTTGAGAACAATCATTATGACCTCATTGAATCTGCCATGCAACTGCCTACCACGTTTAGCATCTAAAGCTTCGGAATCAATGAACAAAAAGAATTTCATGAACTCACTGTTGAGAGTTATGATTTTGAACATGTTGATAACGGTCACATGCATCAGAGAGAGAACCATAGTGATGCTGCCTTTGCTGATTCAACTGATGATGGAGTTCTGCAACTTTCTGCTTCAATCTGGCCACATCAGCTTCGGCAAGAGCAATCTCCTCAAGCTCGGCCCTCGTCTTTACATCAATTTTAAGTTATAAGTATGAGAAATGCTAAAAGTAAAAAGAAAAATGGTTCTCTCAACATATGTACAAACCTTGGAATCCATTCCACGGGAACTAGAAAATTGTCCAGATGACATGCTCAATCCAACTTCAAGTGCTGCTCGAAGATCTCGTTCAGCTTGAAGCTGCTCTTGCAATCTAGAGACCTATATAGTCATTTACAGGTAAGTATGAACACAACTTTGGGAACATAAGGCCACAATAAAAGCTTAGATAATTGTACAAGAAAAATCATTTTCTCAACAAGAAAGAAGATAGATATATGTCCACAGTGAGAGATTCTGTGCAACCCATTTAGTTCATACAGCATCAAAATTATTAACCCGCTTAGTTCTTCTATAGTCCGCAAAAGTTGCAAAAAAGAAAGTCAACTCTCCAAAGTGTTACTTGTCCATAACTATATAACAATAAACGCAAGCCATAAAATCTGCAAGTTAGCATGGCTCTCTGCAGATTGCACAGCATCCAATCATCTAAGCAGCCATCAGTTCAAACACCTTCACTTCCCACATACTTAAGAGATGGCACAAAATCATCAACCACATGAGCCCATTGGGCTGTTAGTGTCCAAAAAATTTTGAGACCTTTTCTCTTTCAAACAGATCTAAGAAAGTTCAGAAATCTAAAATCTTCAATATCAAATTGAAATAGCAAGTCTAATAGAATAATCAAAGGTAGGCAACATAAAAAAGACACACATGTGCTTCTTGATGACAGGATTAAATTTAGAATCCAAGGATGGATCCTAACTACTGCGATATAAAAAGGTTTAGAAGCTAATGCCTCATTAAAGTAAAAACAACCAAGATAGAAAAGGAGCCTAAGTAAACCATGTACTACTAATCCAAAATGAAAGCAAAGTAAAAGATCCTAAGACTCAATTCCTTGCTCAACATGTAGTGCAAAAAATAGCAAGCAGATTTAGAGATGAAAAATCTCTGAGGAAAAGTGAAGTGTTCAATTGGTAAGAAAGACATACATCTTGTTCAAGTGCCAGGCGACGTTCATGCAAAGCTTGTTTTCTTCTTTCCAAGCTAGCTTGTAAAATTGCATTTCCTCTAGTCTATAACAGGTAATGAGCAATGTGTCAGAGGAAACAGAAAATATTTCTCTAAAATGGTTTTAAAAAAGAAGCATTACCTCTTTTGCGATACGATGTTGCAGTTCATTCTTTGTAATCTCAAGCCTCTGTATAGCAAGCCTAGAAAAAATTCAACAAATTAATTTTGTGATTAAACTATGGACAGCATCAGATTTATGCTACATTTAGACAGTTTTAATATAAGAACTCAACTGCTCACTGTTTTAACACTATGGGCATCTTACAACACTATCAAGTCAAAATAAGATGTAAATAGATTTTAAAGATGGATGCCAAAAGTCATACTTGTGCTAAGCAGGAGCTGCAAAAGCACAAAGCCTGAGTAATAGTTTTCCAATTTGCAAATACTAGTAAAAATAATGTGAATAATAAAGCTGAAAGCTACAAGATGTAATGAGTATCTTACTCTTCTTCGCCAGAAGAATCAACAGATTCCATCGATGGTGTCTTTCTGGCCTGAATAACAAAGCAAATGAAAGATTCAAGTAAGTAGAGTCTTATTGTGTGAATCAAAAACTTGTAGAAATGAGAGTAAAACACCTAATTTTGTTTCCATGTGCGAAACCAAAGCATACGTATGTCCACCAACAAAATAAGGAATAATGTTTTGCAAAGATGATTTAGGAGGAGTGAGAAAAAAATTGCACTTGATACATTATCAAGCTTGTCACATATGTAAATTATGCAATTTTTAAGAACACAAAGGATTTTTGTTAAGATTGACATTTCTTGGCTAGTTGATGCAGCTACCATAGTTTCCATTTGTTTATTCAAGCACATGAAAAGAAGCAACCCTCCAAATGATTCCAGGGCCAAAAAACTTGTCAAAGAGTTATTACACAAGGAAGAAAGTGGAGATAAAGAAATTATCTATACAAGGAAACTGATGACTGAGCAGGACAGTTTAGTATGAGTTGAAGCTACATCAACCACAAACATTCCATTGAGAATAAAAATGCAATCTTTGGATGATGTGGGTATGACGCAGCGAGTTAGCGTAAAAACAAAGACTAGCACCTAACTAAACCTCTAAGATTAATAACCAAGTTTCAAATATTGCACTCAAACATTTGGCTCATTGGTTGGTGCATGATCCCCTACTCAAAGAGAAGGATTCGAATCCCCCCTTCCCCAATTATATAAAAAAAAAAAACTCAAATTTCAAATATTGAAATTTAAACTCAAGTTTGAGAGCAGAACTCAGTAATGTTATTAGATGATCCTAAAAACTAAGCCTAAAGGTCTTATTTATAGCATTATAAGCTCAAATCCTAATAAAACTCTACTTCTAGTTGTCTGGTACAACTAGAGTAGTTAACAAAAAAATTAAATAAAATAAATATTCTACTCCTAATCAGAGCATCACTATCCTAAAGTCCTAGTACAAGTAAATTAAATAAAAGAGAAATTCTATTATACCTATAATTCCTATTTAGACTCCTAACTACAAGGAAAATATTAAAATTATGAACATGCCCATTTATGACTTTTGGATTTTTGTTTTGGCTTTTGACACTCAGCTTTCTCCAAGCCTGCTTCAAGAAACTACCTACTAGACATTCTACGTTAGTCCCCTTCACTTGAGAAAAACTCGACCTCGAGTTAGCTTGTATATTTGGATACAAGGTTCATCTGATGAATAAAATGGATAAATATCCGCTTTGTGTACACAATAGAAAGTGGAGATTTTCTAGTGGCATTATGAACAACACTATTATAAGCAAACTTTGCTTATGCCAATGCAAAGTTCCATTGCTTCGGTCTATCACTACAAATATTGCAAATCAGATTGCCAAAGGTTTTGTTTACTAATTCAGTTTAGCCATCAATTTGTGGATGAGCTATAATACTGTAATTCAAGTATTGAGTCAAACATCTTCCACAAAGTCCTCCAAAAATGACGAAGAAACTTGCTGTCTCCATCTGAAATGATGGTTTTAGGCACACCATGTAGACGAACAACCTCCTTGAACAACAATTTGACCATTCCACTTGCATCTAAAGTCTTCTTGCAAGAGATAAAGTGCGCCATTTAGAAAACCTATCAACAACAACAAATACAACATCCATGCCCCTTTGTGTTCGAGGCAATTCAAGCACAAAATCCATAGATAAATCCTCTCCAATATTTTTTGGAACAGATAGAGGCATGTACAAACTAGTATTTTAGGACTATCCCTTTGCGGTTTGACATATGTAACATTGCTGCACAAATCTTGTTACATCCCATCTCAAATGTGGTCAATAATATCTTTCCCCAATAGCAACAATTGTTTTGTCATGGCCTAAATTACCAACAAGACCTCAACTATGCAAATCTCTAATCAACTTTTCTCTCAATAAAGATTTAGAAATGCAAAGCTGGTTGCCTCACATTTAAAAACCTCATGGATGTAAAAATTTTAAACAAGTTGATTTGTGAGACACATCTCCCATGTATCATGAAAATCCTCATCAATATGATACAATTCCTTGATTGTATAGAAACTCACAACTTCTTATCTCATTGTCACTAGCAAATTTGCACGTCTACTCAATGCATTTGCTACTTTATTCTATACTCCAGCCTTGTGCCTTAGTTTGAAAGGATATTTCTGCAAAAATTGAGACCACCTAGCATGTATGTCTTTACTGATCCATTTTTAACTATTCAAGTACTTCAATGCCTCATGATTTGAATACAAAACAAATTCTCATCTGATCAAGTAATGCTCCCCATTCTTCAAAGCACGCAAAATAGAATAAAATTGTTTATCATGCGTGGTCCAGTTGTGCCTTGCATCACTGAGGTTTTCATTGAAATAAGCTATTGGTTTCTTCTTTTGTGAAAGAAGAGCTCCTATTCCCACACCACTAGCGCCACATTCAACTTCAAATAATGTATTAAAATTTGGTAATGCTAAACTAAGAGCAATACATAGCTTTTCCTTTAGTGCCGCAAAACTGGTTGCAGCTTCTTCTCTTCACTGCAACTTCCTCTTCTTCACTCATTTTGTAATAGGTGCTGCAATACTACTGAAATTTTTGATAAAACGCCTACTGAATGTTGCCAACCCATGAGAACTTCTAACTTCTGTTATTGTTTTTAAGGTAAGCCATTCTCTAATAGCTCGAATCTTCTCTTCATCCACCTAAATTCCATTTGCACTAACTACGTAGCTTAAGAAAAACAACTTATTCGTGATAAAGCTGCAATTCTTCAAGTTCACATGCAACTTATTTTTTTGTAAGACCGTTGATACTTTGCACAAGTGCAAAAGATGCTCCTCTTCTAATAGACTATAAATCAAGATATCATCAAAATAAACCACTAAATATTTTTCAATAAAAGGTTTCGGTACCTAATTCATCAATCGCACAAAGGTATTTGGCGCATTGGTCAACCCGATGGCATCACAAGCCACTCATACAATCCTTCTTTTGTCTTCAAAGTTGTTTTCCACTCATCCCCACGTCTAATTCAAACCTAATGGCATCTACTACGAAGATCATTTTTTTAACACCTTAGCCCCATGTAACCTATCAAGCATATCATTTAGCCTAAGAATTGGAAACTTGTATCCAATAATAATTCTGCTGATGGCTACGCTATCCACACACATCCTTCAACTCCCATCTTTCTTTGGGGTTAACAAAGCAGGAACTGCACATGAACTTGTACTCTCTTAGATATGTCCTTTGCGCAATAACTCCACTTTCTCCTTGAAAATCTCGCTCTCATTTGGGCTCATCCTGTAATGAGGCAAGTTTGACAAACTAGTACCAGGAATCAGGTCAATATGGTGCTCAATATCTCTTATGGGTGGTAAACCATTAGATAAATCTTCTAGCATCACATCACTGAATTCTACTAGTAATAGTTTGACTGCTTCTGGACGCTTTACTATTTTCTAATCCTTTTCAATTGACAACACTTGTTTTACAATCAGAGCGTGCACCTCTTTTGACTCTTTGAAAGCAATCTTTATCTCATTCCCCGAATAAATGAAGGTAAAGAAAGTTCACCCCTCCACTTTAGAAGCTTTGATTTTGGTACTTCCTTTCATTGGTAATAGAATAACTTTATGCCTTTTTTTTCCAATTTATGAGTGTTTTCTCTTCTATCATGCTACATTACAACATCAAATTGCCAAGATCTATCAAATAACAGGTGATAAGCATCCATACCCACAATATCTAAATATACCACATCCCTCTATTTACCAATGAAAAAAAGTACCTTGAATCGTTCTATTACATGAATCTTCTCTATTGCTTTAATCCAATCAATAGCATATGGATTAAAGTGTTTCTCTGCTTTAAATCCCAAACTTTTCGCAACATCCTTACCAATAATATTCTAGCAACTACCATGATCAATAATCACATCAAATAAACAGTTAGTGATAGTGCAACTGCTTCGAAATAATTGATGTCGCTAAGTATTATCCACTTATTTTGGAGACAACACCATTCTTCTCACCACATGGTTTTGGCTATCATCATCATCCTTATACTCATCATTATTCCCATCTTGACTACAACAAATCTCATCATACTCCTCTTCTCGTTCCACCACATGAATTGCTTTTCTGAGAAGACAGTCACTAGATCTATGACCAAATTGATTGCATTTGTAACACTTCCTTGAATGTGGTTTAGCATAGGGATTTGTAGCTTTGTGCTCATCCTTCGCATCTGTCACTTTCTGCTGTCTAGCCGCCTTCTCTTCCTTGTACCAATCATTACATGCAGAACTATCATGAATTAATTTATTCTTGTCGTTGGATACTCTATAACTATCCCCACTATAACTCTTGCGAGAATAATCAGATCTGTTTTTCTCTCGCAACATCAATTTAGCCTTTAAAGCAATATTTTGTGCTTCAGATAAATGTCATAATATCTGTACCCCTATCTTGTCTCTAATAACTGGCTTCAACCCTTTTAGATACTTGGCAACCTGTTGCCCTTCAGTCTCCCTCAAGCCATTCCGCTCTGCTAGTCTCATAAATTTTGCAGTATATTCGTGAACAGTTTTCTGATCTTGATGGCACCTATGGTATTGCTGGAATAAAATCTGCTCATAATTAGGAGGAAGAAAATCTTTTTGTAACAATTGCTTCATCCTATACCAAGTTCTAACTGGTGTTTCCCCACACGATTCCTTCTGGACTGCAACCTTTTCCCTCATGTAAAAGCCCCACCTTTCAATCTACAAGCGACAAGTCTCACCTTTTTTCCTTCTGGAATTTTCATATATTTGAAAAATCTATCTATTTACGCAATCCAATCCAGAAAATCTTTAATATTCAAACTCCCATTAAAGCAAGGAATACCTATCTCTAATTTGTAATTACGAGTATCTCTGTCACCATAATTATTCCTTCCATATCCAACATATCTTTTTGTAACACAATCATCTTCCATTTCTGAATCTTTCATGTAAACCTGTTGTCTACGCCTGTTTGCAAGAACAAGTCTACCGACAAGCTATCCGCAAGCTACATCATTTTCGGTACAAGGCCTCTCGTTATTCCAGTTTCTATTGGCATCTACGCCTAAAGCATCTAGTCAATCTACAATTTCTACAAAACATCATTCCAAACGCTGGAATCTGAGATCCATTCGTTGCTCAAAAGCCCTCAATGCCACCCCTTGATCTTGCATTGCAGATCATAAGGTCTTAGTTCCCTGATCTTTGCCATGAGAACCGCTGCCTACCATGACTGGGTCAGTTGCCATTAGATTGGACGAGTTTTTCCCGCTCTGATACCAACTGACGCAACAAGTTAGCCTAAAAACAAAGGCTAGCACTTGACTAAGCCTTTAAGGTTAATAACCAAGTTTCAAATATTGAAACTTAAACTCAAGTTTCAGAGAAGAACTCAGTAATGTTATTCGATGATACTGAAAACTAAACCTAAGGATCCTATTTATAGCATTATAGGCCCTAATCCTAACAAAACTCTACTTTGGTTGTTTAGTACAATTAGAGTAGTTAACAAGAAACTTAAATAAAATAAATATTCTATTCCTAATTAGAACATCATTATCTTCCAGTCCTAGTACAAGTAAATTAAATAAAAGAGAAATTCTATTATACCTATAATTCCTATTTAGACTCCTAACTAACAAGGAAAATATTAAAATTATGAACATGCCCATTTATAACTTTTGAGCTTTTCGTTTTGACTTGTGACGCTCAGTCTGCTCCAAGACATTCTACGTCAAGGTCATCTATCAAATGATGGAATAGTTTGGCCTCATAGTTGTAGGCACTAAGTTTGTTTCTCAAGCTTTGCTTGCTGGATTTATCAAAAAGTCATAAAAGAAAAAGAAAGAAAGTGACCTGCGTAATGGAAAATCCTAGAATGTAGCAACAAGAACACAAAGCAAAGATGCAAGAACAAATAAAGTTTTAACTTAATTCTTATGATTCCTTTCGAAAATCAACTTTTCTTATCGCCGTGGTTGTAAAGTTTATTCAGATAGACATCCTATTTAAGTGAATCAACCATGTTAAAATCCATCCAGATATTGCTTGAATCAGTGTGATGTGCCTAATGCATGTAATTTCAGAGTTCCTCAAAATTAGATAATGCATCATAAAAAGGGAACTCACATTGCTTCTTCCCCAGAATGTTGGTTTCTTTGCATTAAGACTGGAGCCTTTAGCTTTACCAACAAGCTTCTCAGTGGAAGATTCAACTCCAGGCATAGATATAGGATGGTTAGGATCCATTGAAGAAAGAATCTCACCCATCGATCGGTAAGATTCACCAGTAGGTAGCACACTTGGAACATCTATCTCAGTAATTGGATTTTCATTTCCTTTATTTTGCTTACCTTGTTCCTCCAGCTGAGCATCAGGATCTCCCATCTGTAAAGGACCTACAGCTAAGCTTGAACTCTCAACTTGAGTATGATTGTCTCTAGGGGATCCAACATCTGAACCATCATCCCCAA